GCGCTTGCTTACATATACATACATACATAGATACATATGTATACAAATGTACATATAGGCACAAAATGTGCATACAATACATGCATACATATGTATGTGCATGTATACATGCAAATAAACAACAGTTAGCTAAGCACACTTAAAAAGCGAACTGAATATTGTGTCCAAATTAATGGACACATAAACTAGCAACTAATTAAAACAACTTTGGAATAAACAGTCAGTCAGTTCAATAAATAAAGAGGCGCGCGCATCTCGAAATAATCTCAATAAGCTTAGTGTACAACAACAACAACAACAAAAAGAAAAAAGAAACAACAGCCTTGGTTTTGGACAGGCAAAGCAAAAAGATTTGTCAATGCGCCCGTCATCTTCTAACACTCTGACAGAATGTGAGAAGAGAGTGTGAGAGTGTGTGTGTGAGTGCTATTATATTAAATGGAATGCCGTTAGCTAGAAGAGCTAAAGGTCGTCACACAGCTTGAACGCTTTTGAACCAAATGAAATGCAGGTAAGGCCATCGGAAGAATGGGGGGGGGGAGCAAGAAACAAAAAAAAACAACAGATAAGAAGAGAAGCCACCATGTGAGAGAACAGCGACATGTGTGAGTGTTTGTCTTAATTGACAGGCCGACACGGACACGCAATGCAACGCGAGTTGAGGGCCGTGTGTGTATATGTATGTGTATATGTACATACATACATATATACATATTTACATCGTAGTATGAGGGCTTATCCTCAGGCACCTCTATATCATGCAATTTTAACAGCCATTACCTTAGCTACATAATAATACAATTTCTCTATTTTAACTTATTTTTTTAAAAGCCTACGTACATTTGCAATTGGGCTTAAAGATTGGCAACAAAGCCGGCAGCTTAAACTTTTCTGTTAAAGCTTACACTACCTAGTAGAACTGAGCGCAACATGGCTATTAGGAGTAGGATGCTTTAAGATGCAGAATGATAACTTATAGCTGGCAAAGGTAATACGAGCGTTGCACGAACTTAAACGCACAAAAATCCAAATGCAAATATATAATATCAAGCACTATTTTAAATTCGTGATGTGACAATATTTAATGCTAAAAGCTGCCAACGCTATTATGAAAGATGCACGTATTTGTGAGATGCTGTATATACTTGTTTGTATACATATGCACGAGTATAGTTGTATATGTATGCATCATGTGACCGTAATGATAGGAACAATCAAAACACTAAAATACGCTTCTCAGCACCATTTTAATTTCTGTTGCGTCAATATTTAAATAATGTTCATTCGCTGCTATAACCATAGGGAATGAAATTATTATGTTTCATACGTTCTGACACAAACAATAATCAACCAAGTCCTACTGGGTTATACATATAGACTTGTCTTCTCCTTATGCTCTTCTCTATGCATCGCGCTCTTTGTCGGCAGGCCTTAAATCTTATTAGAAATGCGTTTGTTCTCGAAAAGGGCGCAGTTATTTTTATTTATGCGTAGCTGCTGCTGCTGCGCTGCTGCTGTTGGCAGATAGAGAAAAAAACTCACAGCCACAACTCGAAAGGTAAAAAGCCTATAACAACAACAACAACAATGGCAGCCCTGTCGAGGGCTTGTCGTTGATGTTTCTTCTTTTTTTATTGTTGTTCTGTCTTTCCACTTTTATCTTGTAGATGCGCCCTCCTTACCAGAAGTATTTTTTGATTTTGTGACGAAGTTTTAAAAGCTTCAAGTATTTTAATTGAAAGCGAAGAAAACATTACTGAAATGCCAAAAAATATTAGAGAAAAATAATTAATTGCTCATCAAAATAACATACTCATAAAAAAATACAATTATGGGCCTATTAAAATGCTTGTGCTGTAAAATTGAATCAATAATATTATTGCAAATGTAAAGAATCCATTTTTAATTAGTTTTTTTTTTTTATCTCTGACAGTAAGGGAAGAAGCAGATTGCCATTATAAAGGGTGTCTGAGGAGCATTTTAGAATAAGAATTCTTGACAGAACATTACAAAAGAACACTACCTATCTATAGCAATAGCCGTAAAGCATATATTTGTTACCTTTTATAGTAAACGCAGGCATCTTTTAATAGTTTTTTGTTTTGTTTTGTTTTTTTGTTTACTTTGCGACAACAACTATTCTTAATTCTCTATGCCTATGTTGTTTGAAAAGCTATGAGACTTGAAGCAAGAATTTATGCTTGATTTTTGTTGTTGCTGTTGGTTTTCTTTCAAAACCAATTCTTTAAACGCTTGGAGAATAATTCTTAATTAACAGCTTTGGTAGCACGCTTAATTTTTTCTCAATAGAAATTCCTAACGGTTCAGGGCCATAGAAATTGCTTAGGCCCGTCGAAAGCAGTTAAGAGCTTATGCCGAAGCAGAAGATATTGTTTCGGGGCGAAATCAATCGAAATTGATTGGCAGTGCCATTACGTATACGACGTGTGGCGCTAAAAGTGAAACAAATGCAAACACAAACACAAACGAACACGCATTTCTCTATAAATGAGTGCATGTATAATTTTAGAAATAGTTTTTGGATATTTTAGCTTTGCAATGGCAACTGCCTCTGATTTGATTTGCCTTTATTATGCTCGGTTTGTGGCGAAACACAAACCAAAATAAATAATTGGCACATTTTCAACAACGTACCAACAACAATGAGGCATTATTTGTAATTTAATTTGGCGCAACGTGAAAATGGAATTATATCAACAAAAATTTAAATGCCAAAGTCGCGTGCGAACGAATTTTGCGTACCCAGTATTTGCAAAAACTCTCTCCAGATACTATAAACAGGCCTTGTTACTTTAAATACATTACATTCAATAGTGTGTGCACCAAAAGTTTGGCATCTCTAACAGCTGTTCTTATTGAGATATTGGAGTTCATACATGCAGACGAACAACTTAAGACTAACTAGTCCCCTTATGCTAGTCAACAATATTTGCACTTCTTCTTGCCCTCTCGGTAAAGACAAGACAAATTCGAAAGTAAGCTGATGAACAATATATAGTATGCATACTTTTTGGATGTGGCACTGAGTAGCGGAGATTTGCAATGCTCTTCCTCCTATAGAGTATACGAATGGTTGCCAAAAACTGTACACAAACTGTACAACAGCCTATATATATATATACTGTCTATAAATATAAGGCAACATCTGCATATGAATCTAAAGTGCGTTCTTCCATAGAACTGGGTAGGCTTTACGATTTTCTTCATTTGACCGTCAAATGCAATATGTGGATACATAATACTATATATACGAGCACATAGTATGTATGTATATGCCTTATTTTGATGGGTGTAGTTGTGTGTGTGTGTTTATTTAATGACTTGGCCAACAAGCTCAAGTTTAATTTGACAATAAGTTGCCGTGTCATGGTCAGAAATAAGTGAGAAACTGAGCGTAATGCAACGCAAAGGAAAAAAGCAAATAAAAAATTTGAATAACTAGAAATGCAAGTGATAAGTAGGATTGATAGACAAAACATGACAGCCAGCCACGCATTCAGCTTAATGGGGGCATTTTGATTGAGTATACAAACAAAATTTCCACACAATTATCACCACAAAAAGTCAAAGGTAAGTCAAAGATCATGGCACAACAATAAAGAGATAGACTAGATGGCTTTGTTGTGAAAATGGTGGAGAGATATGGATATGGATACTTTAGCTAGCATCGCAATTAAATCGAGTATCCAGCTCATTTGGCATTGATTAAAGGTAATCGTTTAAGGTACAGAAGGAAATCAATCCTAATCTTATGGAATCAACTAAACGTTTTTGAATTAATAAGAAGACAGTTGAGGCTTAAAATTTGTAACTTTTAGGTAAGGTTCGGTCAGACAAGTAAATAATTTGCGTTCAAATTTGCTTTATCTTACGAATGGGCTATGCAAAGTAAGGAAATTTATGTGCAAATAATTTGTCTGTGTGAACAACAAATTATTCATTACCTAACTCTTGTATTGCCCGAAGTTGTTGTCATTATTCTGCCCAACATTAGTTAAGATTACATATAGTAAGCATTTTTCTTCAAACGGAGGAGAGTTCTTGAGTATATGAATGATTTTTTAAAAATTCAAAAATATTTCAAGCCCTGACTAGAAATTTATTGTGGATATGTGTAAATGATTCGCAAAATATATAGATGTATACGTACAAGCGATAAAAATGCTGGATCCGGCTTGAATGATGGTAGATGGAGTAATTTTAGAAACATTTTTATCAAATTATTCGAAAAATAACTTAAAAAATTATAAATGTGTAAATTGTAACTTTAAAAGTGTTCAATGTGTTTCCGTACGATTGAAAATCCAATGCAACAATGATTTTGAATTTTGAATTATGTGTAACTATGTATTATTAAAAATTCAATGCTACATATGTTTCCTGACATATAAATACAAATTATTTATACATAAATGTATATAATATATACATATGTATGTGTATATTTCCCGTCGTTCATAAAACATTTTCAGCAGACGGAGAATACAAAGAATTTCGAAAACAAATTTGGAGAAGAATTAAATGTTGATATGTGTAGAAATGCAGGCATTGCTGAAATTATTGAATAATTAAAAGGCAACAACAATAAGTGTGTCGATGATATCGGCTGCCATGGATTAGTTAATAATTGTTAATTGTTTTTCTTTCTCTTGTGCTTTGTTTGTTTAATGTATGTGTCCATATTTATGGCGGAGCTTAGAAATCAATCAAAACGCGTTCAGAATTTTTGATATTCACACGAAATTTGTTAACACATTTAACAAACACACACACATCTACATACATACATATATACTTGTATGTATGGATGTATAAACAATAATTAAAACAATCCACACACACACACGCATAAGCTTTAGCACGCGCTGAAGGCGCTGTTTATCCGTTTTTTAATTTGCAAGTGTGCGTTATGTAAAAAAATTGTTAAAAAATACAAAAAAAAATGGGAAAATAAATGTGCGAGGTACGCAACAAATTACCGAAAATAAATTAAGAACGAACACACACAACGATTAAAAAGTAAACACACACACACGCACGCAGACGCACTAATTAAGTGAAAATAATTTCCACGACAAAATTCGAAGGCGACGACATTTAGACGCGTCTTGCTCGCGTCTGCGACTAAATTTAGAACAGAACGTTGGCAGCAGCAACTTAAACTCAAACAGACGACGCGCGGCAGCAGACTAAGCAAAGCGCACAGAACGCAAAGCAACAGCAGCAGCAGCCGGCCGCCCGTCGGCCTTGCTGCTTAGATACAATAAGGTCTGCGCCACAAAGCAATTCTCTCTCTCTCTCTCTCTCTCTCTCTGTGTGTCGTTCGCTCTCAATGCGCTTGCACGTCACAAAATGCATCGTTAAAATCAAAATCGAATCTTCAACAGCAATTAGGAATATGCCTAATGAGTGCCAAAATAAAACATCACTTTGAATTAACATTTGCGTTATTTAACAGCAATTAATCGTACTTTAAATAATCATACTTTAAATAATCATACATAAATAATACTCCGACTTGGACTCTTCACACTGATTACACTTAACAGACTTGCGCATGGCGATACCTTGAAATCTAACAGCCCTAACAGCCGGCACAACAATTGAGTCCGCTGGAGAGCGGAGAGAGCGAATAAGCAGAGAGTGCAGTGCACTGCGCAGCATCGCTACTGCTGCTGTTGTTGTTGTTGTTATTGTATGCCGGCTGCGCTGCTGTTTATAACCTTTTTTACTAGCACGCATGTGCAGCTGATGACGCGATGCAGGAGAGCTGCGCGTTGCACCTGCTGAGTAGTGACAGCAGAGCGGAGCAGAGTGCTGCTGTTGTTGTTGACAACGCGTAGGCCAAATATTTAGCTTACGGTACAAAGGCAAAGAAGAAGAGACAGAAACAAAGCAGCAGCCACACACTAGGCGGCATTTGTATACAGACAGATACTCGTTTCTAATTGGTATTAAGTCAGACAAATCATACGATGGTCTTACTTCGTTAAAGGGAATGCTATGATCTAAGAGAATTTTGGAGCAAAAATTATATAAGAAAAAAATATATCGTATATGTGTTTAGCTTTTATAACTTGCACTTCTCTAATCGAATTTTATTTAAATATAAATCCAATTTATTGCGTACTAAGTCATGAATTATTGGTTAGCGGATTTCAGTAAACAATAATACTATGGGAGCTCTGTTAAAAAAATTTATCAGATCCGCAGCGCGTTTTCTTCTTCTCTGTATCAAGTTTTAGGTGTGACTCTTAAGTTAATAATAACGCCCTATTAAACATACTTGTATTATGATATTAAATTTGCTACTGATTACTAATGACCATACAAAACAATTTTGATGTTTCAATTAAGACACAAAATTTATGTATAACGTGAGTTGAATGAGTTGTCTAAATACAATTGGCGTTAAGTGTAGATGCATATGACTGCGCTTCGTCTATGCAAAGCGGGTTTCGCTGATTGGACTGCCAATGTACCGTTCAATGGCAACTGCTACAATAAATTTGAGCAGCCAAATGCACGTGCTGCTAAGTAACTGCCGCAGTCGCCGTTGCCGTTGTCGTGGCCGTCGCTGTCGCCGTCGCCATCAACCGTCACTGCCGATGCTGCTGCTTCTGCTGCTGCCGTTGATAAGTACCGGTATTATAGGCCGGCAATTGCATAACAGTCTGCAAATTTATGCAGCTTTAACAGCAACTCGTCTGCTGCACCAACAGCGGCAGCAACAGCAACAGCGACAACGACCCACCCATTAGCATAGCAGCGGCGACTGCAACGACTGCGGCTGCGTCATTATTATCAGCAGCTAAAAACGCTGACGGCGCAGGTTCACACGACTCTGTAGTCTGTCTGCAGTAGAGGAGGTGGGTGCGTTACAATGTTTTTACTCGTCTTTTACGATTATATTGGTTCAATTTTAGATTACTAATTAATTGCTATAGTATTTCTGCAATATAGCCAGCTGAGTAACATAAATATTGAATAATATCGTTCATACGGAACACGGTTTTTATTTAACACGGTTTGAAAATTAAAAATACTATATATGGTTAAACGACTTTATTCCATTTAGCACGATTCATTTTGCATATGATCAATGCCTTTTTTTACACTGTTTTTTTACACGACTTTTTTAGGAACCAATCGACCGTGTAAAAACAGAATTAAGTGTACAACAGTTGCTGTCATTTTCATCTTTTAAAGCTTCAAATTAGACAATTTAAAATAAAATATTGTAGTACTGCTGTGGACCACTTAAAGAGGTTAATAATTCTACTCTACAACTTATGGAAACAAAAATATATATTGAATTGAAATTGTAAAAAGTAATTTAAAAAATAATTCGGTTTGAAGTAAAAGTTTATTACTACATTTATGTATGTACATATTTAAATACTGATCCATATTTATTTGTTCTATTGCTTTTTAATTCGCGCAAACACATCTAACAGACCGCACAGAACGCAAATAAAATACTTAAAAACTAAAGAGCCACTCACGCACTCGCGTCCAGCTCTAGTCTGGAGCCTCGCTCTGCTGCTTGACCGACATTCTTATCGACGCAGCACAACACGTCCAGCTGAGAGGTGGCATTAGAATTCGTAGCTATGAGCATTCGATTACAAAGTTGTTGATCGAGTTTGTCCCTCGAGACCGGCGCACGGGCATCTTAAACTAAACTCGATCTTAGGCTACAATACTTTTTTTTAACTTACGCTGCTCAGTGGGCGCAGGTCTACATTCTACTCTGGTTTGTTTATAAAGGTGTCTGTGTATTTTCGAAGCTTACCTATAAAGAGAAAAAACAACACATAAGTGAACAAAGTTGAAGTTTGTAAACCAAAATCCAAAACCAAAATATTTCGATCTAGCTGAAATAAAATTGGAAGAATCTACTATTAATGTACAACCAACCATTTACAACCAACACCAACATTATGAAAAAAAAAACAATAACATTAAAATATAGAAATTAATGTGCATAGCTGCTGATTTATATTTTTCATATTTGTTAAATTCTAAACTAATTTTCATATTATTCGACCGATTTTTACAAAATGTTGAAAATATTAAATCCATAACACCGCAAAAGAAAAATAATACCTTCTATAACCGTTTAGATTTTGTTATTTCAATGAAAATTCTATTTATTATATTACTATTTTTTTAGTCCTGCAGTATTGTGTTTTACAATTAGTTATTTAATTTTAGGCTTTTTACCAAAATTGACGCCAAATAGGCCGCATTTGTATTATTAAATAAAACATATCACTCATACGCCGGGTGGGGCAAAGCTTAACGAAGAAAACATAATTTGAAAATAATATTTACCATGGATAGAAATAACAATCGAAACAATTAACATTTACTTCATTTAACATTTATTTCATTTAACATTTACTTCATTTAACATTTACTTAATTTAACATTCATTTCATTTAACATTTATTTCCTTTTCTATTAAGACCTCTCAGGTCTTAGGCCCAGTAATATTTATAAAAACATATCACTCATACACCATGTGGCTAACGTTTAAAGTTGAACACACACTGCTTAATATGCAAGTAATTTTGCAAAAAATAATTAAATAATTCGTGCAAGTTTAAAATGATATTTTTAGTTTCTAAAATATTTTGAATGAATGAAAAGCTAAGCTGCAGAAAAGCGCAATCACAAAAGCTCTAGCCAAGACACAAACCGCCGAGCTTAATTTTTCTCTTGCATTTCTTTAACGCTATTCTCTCTCTTCGATCGAGTTGAAGAGTGCGAGGTGTTGCAAAGGCCTTGCGAAATATTTTCACACAGACACGGACGCGTACACATACTATAACGGAGACAGGTATGAAAAGGGCAATAAAATTAAAAGCCCATACGCATTTTTATGGTATATAGTATATGTATATATTATGTGTGTGTGTTGGTGCGTTTGTATTAGAGATGGGCATGATACTAGCTTTCAAAAAATGCGTACGATGAACATTTTTCAACGACTGAAGGTATGCATGAAAAATGCGATTATTTTAAAGAGTTTTTCCCAATTTTAATTTTCATATGCCATATTTTAACGCGTTTCTTTGTTCTCCTTTGAGCGGACAATACCGAATTTCTAATATTAGACACGAACATGCCACCTCAAGTTGGAATAATTTTATGGTTTTCCCAATTTTAAGGTCTATTCTGGCCGCGTTGTTTCAGTGTCTTTTCTTTCGAGCAATCACAATCTCGTTCGAAGCACTGACAATCGAATAAAACACGAGCCATGCCCACCTCTAGCTTGTATCTTATAGCTACAATATATCTTAGTATCTGTATCTGAGTCTGTGGCTGTTCATAAATAAATTGCACTTACTTGCTAAATGCTGACGGTCAAACAAGTTTAACTGCATGTTAATAATTAAATAAAACCAAAACATAAACATAAACCCATACACATACACATACACACACAAATACATTCACATCATATATATTGTATGTATGTATGTATGTATGTACAGAGCTGGCCACAAATAGTTATGTGTTCGGTGATTTAATTGATGATTTAATTGTGGAAAATGACGTTAATGTCGATGTTCGAGCAAATGTTTTAGCCAACATCGACAATATTATGTTAACAAATATGGGGAGACCAATTTTGTGGGTTCAAGGAACCAGCCAAACGGGCCAGGAGTACTTTTTGTTTTTTTTTTCCGGGAATATTGTGTGCGTGCGGGTCTCCGGGTATTACCAATGGGGTGCAAAAACAACAACAATAACAAATGGGAGGACCACAAACAATGGCGACATGGAAAATGAGCGATTCACAGACTTAAAAGTTTCTGCATGTTTGTAAAATCGTGTAATCACATAATGTATACTCTGCCTCTGCCTATACTCTACTCAGCTGCAGCTTAAGGTCTACAATTTTAGCAAAAATTTAGAATTCATGGAAAAGTTCACTTTTTTAAAGACTACTCTAACGAATTGCCAATGCATATTTCAAAAGACTCATTCAATTATTTAGAATTATGGGTAAATATTTTACAGATTTCTATGCATTTCTATATAAATTATTGACTGCAGAGACAAACAAGTGCTTGATGGAGAGAATTAGGTAGACTTTT